GGTTCAGAATGCTCTCTGAGTGTAGGTGAACTACAAATCTCAGTAATGACAACTCACAAATGTCAAGATTCTATGTTCCCCCAAACTCCACTTGTGTTGACACTTGGGCATATTGAGTATTTGTGCCAAGTTTGGTCCAGATCCATCTTTGTTTGAGTCCACAGTGCTCTGTGGTTGTAGGTGAAGTGAACTACAACTCCGCTGGACCGGCCACGTTGTCCGGATGCTCGACCACTGTCTCCCAAAGCAGTTGTCCTACTCCGAACTCAAGAATGGAAAATGGAATGTTGGTGGACAGGAAAAGAGAATTAAAGATGGGCTCAAAGCCAACCTTAAAAACTCCGGCATAGACACTGAGAACTGGCACCCTTGAGCACTCCAGCTGGAGGTTAGCTGTGACCAACAGTGCGTCAGAATTTGAACAGTCCTCTCGGGTAGATAGAGAGGAATTTAAATAAAGTGTTGTTGTTGTGCTGCTGTTGTTGTTGTCATTAACTGGTCCTTGAGCACTCCAGCTGGAGGTCAGCTGTGACCAGCAGTGCTGCAGAATTTGAACAGTCCTCTTGGGGAGGTAGAGAGGAATTTAAATAAAGTGTTGTTGTGCTGCTGTTGTTGTCATTAAGTGGCCCTTGAGCACTCCAGCTGGAGGTCAGCTGTGACCAACAGTGCTGCAGAATTTGAACAGTCATCTTGGGGAGATAGAGAGGAATTTGTTGTTGTCATTAACTGGCCCTTGAGCGCCCCAGCTGGAGGTTAGCTGTGACCAGCAGTGCTGCAGAATTTGAACAGTCCTCTTGGGGAGATAGAGAGGAATTTGTTGTTGTCATTAACTGGCCCTTGAGCGCCCCAGCTGGAGGTCAGCTGTGACCAACAGTGCTGCAGAATTTGAACAGTCCTCTTGGGGAGATAGAGAGGAATTTGTTGTTGTCATTAACTGGCCCTTGAGCGCCCCAGCTGGAGGTTAGCTGTGACCAGCAGTGCTGCAGAATTTGAAGAGGCACGAATGGAGGGTGTGAAAGAGAGAAACGTGCCAAGAGGAAGGTGCATCAAGTCAACCCTGACCGGGACCACCTTCCACCTGGAAACCAATGTTCTCACGGCGGGAGAACATGCAGATCAAGAATAGGGCTCCACAGCCACCTACGGACCCACCAGAACAAGTTAGTTAGTCTGTTATCACCGAACTTTGCTGACTAAGGACTGGTTAATTATGGATGACGAACTCTGGATTGGTGATTTTATTGACGAGATGCATGGTATTATTATTGGTGGCCCAATAATCTGTATTGTCTATGTGTTGTTGTTTTAAATTGTATATTGTTTTTAATTGCTGTAAACCGCAATGAGTCGCCGACTTAGGCTGAGGTATTAGCGGTATACAAGTGTATAAAATAAATAAATAAATAAATAAACAATGATCCTGGAAGACTATCCTACTCAGCCAACGAGGGATCACCTGAGTAAGTAAGTAAGACGTAGACTAACATTTGTCTCCCACATTTCTGTCAGCCGGCACTTCTGGTAGGTTCCCATGAGAACAGACCTCACCTTCTCCAGTTTCTTGGGAACTTCCAGGAGGAGATTCCAAAACAACTCTCTCTGGGTTCTTGTGGGTTTTTTCGGGCTATAGGGCCATGTTCTAGAGGCATTTGCCTCTAGAACATGGCCCTATAGCCCGAAAAAACCCACAAGAACCTAGTGATTCCAGCCATGAAAGCCTTCGACAATACATTAACTCTCTCTGGGTCATTTCCATTCTACTCCAGGTCCTCTGCATCTCTCCCCGCATCCCCTTCCTCCTCATCTGAACACTCAGCATCAGACCAGGCTGCAACAACAACACCCCAATGTCATGGGACCTTGTCAAATGGGCTGCATCCACAAGTTCCCCCTGTTGCTTCTTCTTCCTCTTCAGATGCAGAGAGGGTCCTCTCCAGAGCCGAGCACGTCCTGCAAGGTGTCCGCCTGGAGGTCCGTCCGGGACCTCCCCGCGACCAAAAGAAGGTGCTCCTCTATGGCCTGAGTCCCCAGAGCAGCCAGGACTTGGTGGAGCTGTACGTGGAGCACATGCTGAAGTGCGACCGGGGCGCCTACTCCCTCTTCCGCAGCCCGGATGGCAGGCAGGCCCTCGTTCAACTCCAGCGGCCCATCAGCCACGCAGGTAAGCATTTGTAAGCTTTGTTGGGAGACCCTGGGGCCTGAGTATTGGCCACCCAGGTTTGCTCCCTGCTCAGCCCTGGGCTTACCCATGAGGAGACCTGCAACCACACCCTCGTTCCAGCCAGCCGACCCAGCAACTTAAATTTCCAGACAGCAATTTAAATTTCTGGGAAGACCTTATCACACCATGTGCTGGCAATGTCTTTATCACTCTTTTCCACCTGCTACTAAGGAGGCTGTTCAGGTCCTGAACCGGTGCTTGGCCGCTGTCTCGGACTGGATGAGGGACAACAGATTGAAACTAAATCCAGACAAGACAGAGGTCCTCCTGGTCAGTCGCAAGGCCAAACAGGGTACGGGGTTACAGCGTGTGCTGGACGGGGTCACACTCCCCCTAAAAGCACAGGTACGCAGTCTGGGAGTTCTCCTGGATTCATCGCTGAGCCTGGAACCCCAGGTTTCGGCGGTGGTCAGGGGAGCATTCGGACAATTAAAACTTGTGCGCCAGCTGCTTCCGTACCTTGGGAGGGCTGACTTGGCCACGGTAGTACACGCTTTGGTTACATCCCGCTTAGATTACTGCAACGCTCTCTACGTGGGGTTGCCTCTGAAGACTGCCCGGAAGCTGCAGCAAGTCCAACGCGCGGTAGCCAGATTACTAACAGGTGCGGGGTACAGGGAGCACACCACTCCACTGTTACTCGAGCTCCACTGGCTGCCGATTAGCTTCCGAGCACAATTCAAAGTGCTGGTGTTGACCTATAAAGCCCTAAACGACTCCGGCCCTGTTTACCTCTCCGAACGTGTTCTCCCCTAAAAACCATCAAGACCATTAAGATTGTCTGGAGCACAAGCACGGCTGGTGGGGACGAGGGACAGGGCCTTCTCGGTGGTGGCCCCTCAACTTTGGAACTCCCTCCCATTAGAGATCAGAACTGCCCCCTCCCTCATGACGTTCAGGAAACTAACAAAGACCTGGTTGTGGAACGCGGCATTTGACAACTGATTTAATTCTTTGCAAACATGAAAGGAGGATGATGAATGGGATTGTGATGGTATCGGACGATTTGGCTCTTTTAACTGTGATGATAATGTTTTCATGTGTATGGTGCCGATATTTTAATCGTGTAATGAAGTGGCATTGTGTTGTTATTGTATATTCTTTGTATGTTAACACATGTTGTGAACCGGTCCGAATCCCTCTTTGAAGGTGAGAGGGTCGGTATAGAAAACCTCGAAATAAATAAATAAACAAATTTATTAGGCTAATTGAAAAGGAACACAAATAACAACAAGAACTTCATTTCTTACCTGCTTCTCCTCTTGGATCGAGGTGGGTTACAGCAAGGTTAAAAAACATCAACATTGTAAACATTCTATAAATACACAAATGTTTTTCTATGAAAGATGGATAAGTAAAGGTAAAGGTTTTCCCCTGACATGAAGTCCAGTCGAGTCCAACTCTGGGGGTTGGTGCTCATCTCCATTTCTAAGCCAAAGAGCCAGCGTTGTCCGTAGACACCTCCAAGGTCATGTGGCCACTGGCATGATTGCATGGAGCGCCGTTACCTTCCCACCGGAGCGGTACCTATTGATCTACTCACATTTGCATGTTTTCAAACTGCTGGGGCTGACAGCAGAAGCTCTCACCGCTCCCCAGATTTGAACCTGTGACCTTTCGGTCACCAAGCTCAGCAGCCCAGCAGTTTAACCCACTGCGCCACCGAGGGTTCCATTGAAAGATGGATAGTAACACATATTTCTAAAAAAAATACATATTAAAATACATAGAAGAGAGATTAAAATACAGGATACAAGTGTTTACTATGCCCAGAAACCCATTGGCAGCCAGTGGAATGGCTTTAGTATCATAGGTGTAATATGCTCACTCCTGGATGGTCCTGTAACCAGTCTGGCTGCCGTATTTGAACCAGGTGCAATTCTTTAATATAGTACCATGCTTACTCAAATCGAATGCTCTCCTTATTTGGCTAAATAACCATATATACTTTGTGTATTTGTGTGCTTCGTTGCGTTTCAGGATATTGAATGTTTGCCTGAGTTAATATATATGCTGAAATCCGTTTTGAGTCCCCTCGAGGAGATAGGACGGAATACATTTAAAGTGTTGTTGTTGTGATGGTGGTTATAGGGTGTGCATTAGAGTCACATAACATGGTCATCTTAGTGCTGAGTCAAAGCAAAAGTGGAAGTTGCTTCAGGAGCTGCTCCTGGACTTCCTATTTCAGGGACGCCACCTCTATTTTAGTGGCCATGGCTCAGTGCTATGCCATCTTGGGATTTGTAGTTTGGTGAGGCACCAGCATCCTTTGCCAGCCCCCATGACTCCACAGCATTGATCCAGGGCAGTGAAAGTGCCTTCATTCTTTCTACAGCAGAGAGACACTTGAGGTTTTATTTTCTGTTGCTGGAACACACTTAGAATTATAGAATCATAGAATCAAAGAGTTGGAAGAGACCTCATGGGCCATCCAGTCCAACCCCCTGCCAAGAAGCAGGAATATTGCATTCAAATCACCCCTGACAGATGGCCATCCAGCCTCTGTTTAAAAGCTTCAAAAGAAGGAGCCTCCACCACACTCCCATCGGGGCAGAGAGTTCCACTTCTGAACGGCTCTCACAGTCAGGAAGTTCTTCCTCATGTTCAGGTGGAATCTCCTCTCTTGTAGTTTGAAGCCATTGTTCCGCATCCTAGTCTCCAAGGAAGCAGAAAACAAGCTTGCTCCCCCTCCTCCCTGTGGCTTCCTCTCACATATT